CAAGATCTTAGAAGTGCAAGAAATGAGCTTCTACTGGTAGAGATTCAAGTGTGCTGTGGAACTTAATGTCCAGCCTCTATAAAAATCTGCACTCGACGGAGCTTCAGAAATCGAAGAGGCGTTTGCTTTCTCAAAAGCTGGGCTGCTCAGAGACCACGAGGGCCGATCTCAGAAATCGAAGAAGCACCTGCTTTTTCAGCCTCGTCAGCACCTGTCACATGCACACTCAGCTTTGCGGAAATTACGGGCAATCTGTCGAAGATTTCTGGTGAAGTAGAAAGCACGTGAATCTTACTGTTCAATCACCGCTCTCCATATGCACCATCAACTCCTCGGGTACCACATATAACTTTGTCAAAGATCTCTGACAAAGTTTAGGCACGAGAATTTCGAAGTTCCAGCTACCCTACTATTACCCATAAGGGTAAAGGAACAGCACCACTGCTTGACAACTGGAAAGTCCCTATGTGTGTCGACCTCCGTGTTTTGCGGCAAGACAGGATTGGCAAGAACGTCCAACCTTTACTCACATTCGAGAAAAGACTCCCAACATAACTACTTTCTCAAAAAACCGGAGTAGCACCGCTTTCCGAATCTCGAGAGTCAGATCCTCGACGGGATTGCTTGTTCGAAAACCGAAGAGGCACAACTCTCAGAACTTCGAGAGCCAGATTTCCTTAGATAAAGCTTGTCTGTAATCTTCACACGTAACATCAGCTTTCCAGATACCACATACCACTTTTTCAAAGTGCTCTGACAAAATTAAAACACGTGAAGCTGGCAGCTCCCACTACATTGCTGTGACCAAGAAGGGTAAAGGAATAGCATTACTACTTGTTATTGGGAAATCCCTATATACATTGACCTCCCCTCCTCAACGGACAGGCAAACCTGCAAAAATGCTCAACCCTTTCTCGCATTCGAAAAGGCACCCTCAACATAACCTCTCGAAATACTCAGCTTTATTTCCCCCCGATAATACCTCAGCAAATAAGCCACACCAAGAACAAGAGTATCTCATATCATCAGGGTCGAAAGCAAGAGTATCCCATATCATGCTTTCTCCCTGTCTTTGTCTTTGTCCTTGTCCACACCTGCAGGACAAGGAGAAAGAGAGCAGTCAGTCGGAACCTGAAATCAAACCTCCAATTTGGAACTAACTGCCTGGAGCCTTTGCCTGGTTGCTTACTTAGCATTGCTCTCGAGTACTCATCCTCAACTGCTGTCAAGGTCACGAATTCCACCGGCAAATACCTCATGACAGTTGATCAGATATTGGCTCTTTACACTGAAGCTGCCAAGCGTGGATGAGTCACTATGAAGGAATGTTCTGAAGGACCATTTAAATGCAAAGGTTGCACACCACTTCTGCCATGCAAAAGATTGAAGCAGAAGGTTCAACGGTGAGCTGAAACAGATCACTACAGCACGACACCTTTCCATACCACATTCATTATTCCGTCAACAGCAAAAGTATCCCATATCATCAAGGTCGAACGTACTCTAGATTTGATGGACTTGTTTTGACCCTCAAATTTTTGAGTCGGCCTTATACTCTGAAGGGCACCAGAAAACCCTCCAGCACAGTTCAAGAATAAGCCTGTGGAAAGTTACTTCTTCAAAAGCAAAAGTATCTCATATCATCTCTTATCCATTTGCTTCTCCTTATCCTGGCAGTTGAATGAGAGACAAGGAGAAGGAGAACAATCAACCGGAAGCCGAAGTCAAACCTCTGATCCTGGGTTGCTTACTTGGAAGTTTGACTGCTTACCTTGTCTGTCTGTCACCTCTTTCGGCAGATCTCCTAGCTCGGCGACTTGGGGGACTCCTACTATAGGGTTTGTATCGCACTTGACCAAGCCCGAAACTACAAGTAAGCTTCAAAGTGAAATTGATACATTACCTTGTGCATCTTCATCAGCTAAATACACCATTCCCGGATGGAGGAAAGGTACTTCCAGAGAAGGGCAGATGAAGATCAGACCACACTTCGGTACTTAGAAGTTTCGTGATTACTCAAGGGATTGGATCTTGCAAGTCCCCAACCGAGGAGTTTCCCTCACTCGGGAACTTAGGGGAGCACTGTTTGTACCATACTTGACCAATCCCGAAACTACCGAGCACCGGCCAACGCTATACTGTCAAGGACCCAGAAGAGTTCCCCTCCGACCAGGAGGCCAATCACTACTCGACACGTGTCAAGATTAAAAGCCAATCAGAGCGCAGCACGTGTCGACATCAAGAACCAATCATAACATGACACATGTCAATGTGACAAAGCTACAAGTTTTTCTATAAATAGGGGGTCATTCCCCCACAATATGGCCTAATGCCATTGTGTTAAAATCATTCACAAGAACTCACTAAATTGAGAGCTTGATCCTTTGTACTTGTGTAAGCCCTTCACTACTAATAAGAACTCCTCTACTCCGTGGACGTAGCCAATCTGGGTGAACCACGTACATCCTGTGTTTGCTTCTCTGTCTCTATTCATTTACGTACTTATCCTCACTAGTGACCGAAGCAACCAAGCGAAGGTCACAAAACCTGACACTTTATATTGTACCAAAGTCTTCGCTGATTTTGTGCATCAACACGATTGATGGTTAACAATCTTAAGGATCACTTATATTAATTTCAAATTTTAAAGATCAAAGTGATGAGGTATGCAAATCTTAAAAACTATTTAGCTTAAAAAAATCTTTTGTTTAATAAAAATTAGTTAAATAAAAATAAAAACAAAAAACTTGACGAATGCGGAAAGTCTCCCTCCTCGGCCCCCGATCCCCACCATGAATGGTGACTGTCTTCCTATCTCCGACGACCACGAGGGTCCCAACTTCCTCGAGGAACCCACAAATCACAACACCGCCGCGCCACACCATTCAGTTCTAGACCACTACGACGACGACGACAATTACGCCGATCTTGAGAACTTCTACGATGTCGAAAAAGACGCGTATAGGAAATGATGGCAACCCCAAGACTCCTAGCTGGGTTGATGCCAATTCCGGTAATGGGGATGGTGGCCAAGTGCACCAATAATAAACATGAAGAGATGTTGGGAAAGGGAGGAATGGGTGGGGATGGGCGGAGGATTCAAGTTCCATCAGGGTATATTCTGTGTTGTTTATTTAAGAGGTATTTTGATATGTGTTCAACGTAACTAAAAATTATACCTATTTCAAACGTAAGCTTATAAAATTGAACATATTTCGAAATTTCCTTTGTATTATTTATTATATTATTTATTGGCTTTTTCCAAGGCTGCGAAACTATTTGTATGGGCTCTTTGGGCTTATTTTGATCATTTACGATGTACAGACATGTGATATTATTAATTTTTGTATTATAATATAGATTAAACACAATAAAACAATTGAAAGTTAAGAACATCTTTAAAGGAGATATTAAATTTTAAATATAAAATTTAAACTGAAAGCCTATGTGGCACTTTGATGTTTTTGTTTAGTTTTTATTTCCACTCGATGTGTCAAATTAAATAATTATTTATTATGTTATTTACTTTTCACAATGGTAATAAATATTTATAGAACAAAAGACAAAAATAAAAGGCATTTATTAATCAATTAAAAATGGATTTAAAGCTGTTGTCAAATTTGACAGCAACCACCATTGTTATCAATCCACGTCATGCCCCATAAGAATTGACATTTCAATTGAAAAACACTAGTGATATTTTTTTACTGTTACTACTGATGTGGACTTTTAGCATCTTCTTTAGAGATGCTCTAAAGGATGAGTTGTATAGTATTAATATATGAATACAGGTTTATCTTCGGTAGTCCAGCCTACTAGAGTCTGATTTCTTTTCTTGTTTTTTGAACAAACGGTATTATCTACACTAAAAGAAAGGAGGTAGACTTAGCCTCATAATGAGTTATCAATAATATGATTCAAATTTGGCGAAAATCGAACTTAAAATCTTTCATTTACAAGTGAAAAAGAATACCACTAAACTGTAATACTAAGTGACCAGAGTCCGACTTTGTTATAACTTTCTTTGTTTCGATTTAAGTCAACTATTCAATTACTTATAGTCAATCTTTCACCGCTCATTTCCCAAACTACAATCTTCATCGGAGTTCCCCGTTGTCGTAATTTTATCTGCTGGACGCATACACAAACATTCTTACAGTAGAAAACTCACAGTAGTGTGTGATATGAAAATTTGATTCACAGAAGCAGCCTTTTACTACCATGCACCATGGAGTGAAATTTAACACTTTGCTAGCCTGCATAATTGAATTCTAAATAGTAAGAATTCCTAAAGCTTTCCGAAATGAACGAAGCAGACGGAAGAATAACATCCGCATAACTACTAACCGATCTTAATCGGTCTTAATCTTTTACATATAAATCATATCTTGTGTGTATTACAGGAGGGAAGAATATGGGCTAATGATCAATTTGCTTACGTCCTTCTAACATTCTGATTACTTAAAAAAATAATAACAAGAAGAAACCAACCCCTAAATGGATAGTGCCCTTCAGTCTTCACGCATACCGTTTATACGTGTATTTTTTTTTTTGGACAAACTAAGTTACTTTTTCATTAAACAAAAAGACTAATAGAAAGAAAAAAGAGCCCAAAAGGCATTCCAGAACCAAAATACAAGCCCATTAAGAAAAAGTACATACAACACAAAGCCCAAAATGCATAACTGAAAAACAACAGAAACACTAATTCAGGAGTATTCAATTAGGATTTTAAGTGATTCTCTTAAATTCAATGTGTATTCAATCAGGATTTTAAGATAATTTATTAAAATCCTTAGAAATCCAGGTGTATTCAATTAGAATTTTAAAGAAGTTTATAACATTCCAAGTGTATTCAATTAGAATTAGAATATAGAGAATTTAGAAAAATTGAGGAATTAGAGGGAATTGAAGAGATTTTGTAGTGTATTTTTACCATCCACAAATCTCACCTCTCCCTATGAGATTTCGAGAGAATTGAATCAAAAAATTTAATGGAATCTCTACAAATCAGTTAAACTCCATAAAAATTCGTGGATTTATAAATCCATTAAAATCTCTCAAATTCCCAATCGAATACACCCCTAAAATTAAAAAGGAAACCAGCAGCTACCACCAAATCTGAAGCGCCACCATCGGAAGACCATCACCACAAAAAAAAAAAACGAACCAAACAGAGCAACAGGATCAACGGAACATGGGGGTGAGCGAGCCACCAGTGCAGTGAGCGATCTCATAATCCTACCAAATAGTGCAAAAAGCACTTTAGCAGCCACCCAAAACCCAATCGCGTCACCGAGGAAAAGCACCCGGGGCCGGGTAGCAGTGGTTGGTAGTTGTGGACACACGACGGAAGGAAGCATCGGAGCAAGAGAGGTGTCTAAAGGTTCCGATCTGAGACAAGCTCAGGGAATGGAGACAAAGCTCAAGAAAATTGAGACAAAGCTCAAAGAAAGCCAAAAGGAAAACATAAATAAAGCACCGCAGGAGAAAACCAGAGGAGGGAAAGCTTGACAGGGGAAGGGGGAGGACCTTGAGGGTGTGGGTGTCGGGTTGGGTTGCGGCAAGAGGGAAAAGGGCGGAGGGGGAAGGAGGAGGACTTGAGGGCGTGGGTAATGGGCTAGAGAATAGAAAGAAGAGGGGTAGCAGCAACAGAAAGCCGGAAGGCCGGGATTTTTTTTTTTTTTGGGGGGGGGGGGGGGGTGTTCCTGCACCGTTTATACTTGTATATGTGGAAAGGACTCAGAGTTTGCTGGTAGAAGATGGACGAAACAACGAATGTCGACCTTCAGCAATAATCTCCCCAGATGCTTTGTTTCGTAGAAGTACATAGGTTCCATAGTAACGTCCTCTTTGTCCTAACCGTTTTGAGGTGATCTCTAGCTCATCCTGCAATTTGAGAGATCAAAAGTGATCAGATGCTATAGCTCTCTTCGAACAATCTGATAAAATCAGAATGATACAAAGAAGAGATGTTCAAGCAAGAAATATCCAAACGAGAATCATATAACACCAGTACACGACGAGTAAGAAAAACCCCAATATTAGAAACATAAGAACATAGCCAAATGTGCATGGAAATGATCCTAAAAGATTGTTTAGAAATGATAATCATTCTTTCCCTTTGACAAAAAATACTCAAGGCGGATCAAACTCATATTCATGAGAGTTAAACCTAAGACCTCGAGAAAAGTTGAGAGAGACAACTATCCATTACAGTAACCAAATTCTGAAAATCAAAATATGAAGGGAAATCATTCCGATCCATCGAAACCAGACCTATAATAGGTTTTCCAGCACATAAGTTCATACATTTGCAAACTGTTAGATTGAACGTGGACATGTATGGCCAATTCAGAGGTTGCTATGGACAACATAAATCTGAAACAAAAAATGGGGATTTACGACTTAGTGAAAGCTTTGCTTACATTAAGCTTCGCCTTTGCCATGTACGAGATGGACATGTCCACTGAAACGGTCATAGGGATATGTGGAACAAAAACAGTAGAGGCACCAACTACATCAACAAGGGTTGCAATTGCACCATTCGCCAGATTTCCAGCTCTATCCTGCAAACAATAGAAACACAGTTCCAAAATTACTCACAAGCAACTCAAGTTTTCAATAAATATCACCAATACTAATTGCATCAAATCTCCCACTAAAAAAATTTGAGCTGTTAGGAAAAGAATCAAAGGTTTCTAAATCAATCAGATCCACCTGTGAATTTGACAATTCAAGATAAAAGCTTGATTTTTAAATACTCAAGATCCTCCTCTCGAGAGTATGAATCCCACATCGTGCAAGGGAACCTTGGCTAATAGTTTAAAATCAATGGGACACTCCCTCCTATTGCCAATTGGTAATGCCCTCACATTCCAATATTTCCTCTATCCTACGAAGACTTAGAAAGAGACTATAAGAAAATATATGGCGTACTTGAGCGCTAAAGGCAGACTTGGGGCAAAACATAGCGCAGTTCTAAGATTAATACCGCTGACCCGACATAGTGGGATTAAGGCTTTTTTGTTGTTGTAATGCTACAAGCTCAATTGGAAGTTATTGACCCTAATTTTATTTATTTTTTCGCTACAAAACCTAATTTTATTTTTTGTACTCTTAAGTAATCCAGATTACTGATGGATTCAAACCCTAACCTAGCTTAGATTAGTAATTAGCATTTTAATAAATAAAAACGGAAGCTAATTCCAGAAATTATACGAGGAAAAGTGGGTGAGCGGTGGGAAGACTCACGGTGAGGCGGGGAGGGACTTTGAAAGTGCAGACGACGAATCCGGGTTGGACTCGGTCAACTCGGATGCCTGACTCAACGAAATTATCGTATATGAGTCTGTCGCTTGGAAAAACGAGTCGCGACACGGCCTCTAACTCGTCCTGCGTCACCTCCAGATACTTCTTTGCATCCTCCAATTTCGGAGCCAAACTCTCTTCTCTCATCTCTGGAAGACTGGAACAACGAAGAAGAACGTTGAAAACCCCAAAAATGTCCGAACTGCGGGCAGGGATCCCAAACTGCTTCCGCGTAATTTCAAAGCCGGTTTCATTTTTTTTTTTTTTTTTTTTTGGAATCTAGGGTATTCCTCGAGCCGAGTCGGACCCCATTCGGGGAGCAGTTCAACGTTGGCTTCTCCATTCATAAAACTCGAACTTGAAACCTTGCTTAAGGGGAACAAACTCCTTACCACTTGAACAACCAAGCATTAGTTTTACAAAGTTGATTTTCAAGAGGTAAATTTAAGGCTTATTTCTTTATCTTTTAAAATTTATTCGTTTTGATGGTCGGAAATTAAAAAAAGTGTATGATATGTACAAATAAGTCTATTCACCACTAAATTTAATGGTGCAAAGGGTAATGAGATCATATGTGGTTTCGAATTTATGAAGTTTTTTAACTGTTAGATAATTAGTCAAAAATACAAAAATTAATATCTAACTGTTAAAAAGCATAGAATTTCGTATTGTTCGAAGCACCATAAACTTTTTTATAAGATCCTGCGTCGAAGCCTACTCGACACTTTTTTTTAATAAAATCATATATTAACACTAACAGTAGGCCTAAATATGTATTAACTTACTATCAAACCGGTATCAGCCATATCTAGGGCCACGAGAGTCGATGATTGGGCATTTGAGCCATTCAAGCTAGCCCAACTGGTAAGAGATGGTCGAATTTTAATTTGGATTATGATAATGGTTCAATTTGGATTATGATAATGGTTCCATCCTTCCAATGTAAACAAGAAAAAGGAAACATTGTGTTTTGAAGTATATTACAAAGTTTACAAGATTGCTCTCTTTGATTGCATTCGTAAACATTAGATGCTTCGATCTTTCCAATACCATGTTGCAGTACAACGTAAAATGAAGGAGTGAGATTTAAAGAAATAGGTAAAATGAAGGAGTGAGATTTAAAGAAATAGGTCACTGACGATAATGTGGTCATGCGCGTTAGTTAGGATGTAAGATAAAATGTAAGATAACCTCCACTATCTTTTTTGGAAAAGAAAAGGAAATTAGCATCCAATAACCTAGGAAGCAGAAATTAGGACATACTGAAAACCATGTCACGGAAACTCTCACCCCTAAAATTACAACGAGAAAAGAATGCCAGACTTCGAAGGAAAATGCAAAACCGGCAACCGGAGTGAAGATTCGGGTTATGTTTGGTTGTGTACGAACGAATCAGTGAAACAGATAAAGCGAAAAACAAGACCAATAGCAGTTAAAAATAGTCCACTAAATTTGAGTTAACACACAATTCTCAATCCTTTTTCAATGATAAACATTTACTTACAAGAAAGCGAAACTACAAAAAGATTCAACCTATGCCCGCGAAGAGCTCCCTCCGTTCCACGTCCACCTATATACATACTGAAGTAAAAAGGACTCAGAGTTTGCTAGCATGCCTACCAAACAACGAATGCCGACCTTCAGCAATAACCTCACCAGTTGCTTTGTTTCTCATAAGGACTATCGTTCCTGAATAACCCCCTCTTTGTCCTAACACCCGTGACGTGATCTCTAACTCATCCTGCAATTTTACATCATGCGAAAGCAGACATTATAGCCAGTAAATATCCGAATGCACATCATATACCAAACGCACCTGAAAAGTTAAGGTAAAGCCCAACGCAAAATAGTAGCAAAGTTCTAAAACTAGTCATAACACGAAACAGTATCAGGATTCGAAAAGCGGTCCAACATGAAATAGTGGCAAAATTCCAAAAGAAATCCTACTTCCCAAGCTATACGCATGGGAAACAATCGCATAATACTTTTAAGAACTCATCATTTATAGAAGCCAAATTGTGCAAATACAACAACAACAACAACAACAACAAAGCCTTTTCCCACTAAGTGGGGTCGGCTATATGAATCCTAGAACGCCATTGCGCTTCGTTCTGGATTCATTTGCATAAGGATTCGACGTGATCATGGAGTGCCGGCTGTCGACTACCTGACGCCCTCCCACAAACCGAAAGAGGCTTAAGGTGCAAAGTTAGTTGTATATTGCTAAGAAAACAAGCTGCTGTAAGATTCTTCCGCATATAACCTCAAACATTGTCGACACAAATGACATTCAAGAAAGTCTGTCAAATTGACAAGTACAAATCGTATACCGCACACATGACATGAAAGGTAAAACCAACCAAACGGAAACACAAAATAGTACCAGAAACCCAAATTAGCCCTACTTACTTCGCATTGTAGTAGACAAACTCTGAAATCAAATCCAGGAAACTGAATATTTCTGGCAAATTGAAACCGTGTTTCAATTGGCAATGTTGGTCTTATATATAAAACAAGTTGATTTAAGCCTTTTACGCGCATTACTTCAAACAGTGGCAACAATTGATGACATTCGGTTCAAGAAAGCATGCTAAACTGAACACATACATCCAGATACGACCAATCGAAAAACAGCAAAACCAGGATATTCGAGTGAAAAGGTTTGCTTACATCAAGCTTGGGAGTGGACATAAACGAGATGGACATGTCCACTGAAACGTTCATAGGAAGACCCTCAACATGAACAACGGCGCCACCCACTTCATCGACCAGGTTTGCAATTGCACCATTAGCCAACCTTCCACTTCTATCCTACAACCAAAATTCCAAAGTTGCAAACTTTAAGCCAAACCAATTTTGGATCACATGCTCACAGCTCAAATCAGCTAAAATTCAAGTTAAATCAACTAAAATTCAATATAAATCAGCTAAATTCCAGGTCAAATTAGCTTAAGCTACAAGTAAAATTAGTTCAATTTTAAGTTAAATTAGCTAAATTTCAATCTAAATTAGCGGAATTTGATGCTCCTAACAATACCAATCAGTAACAGAAGTTAATTTCAATTAAAATTATGGAAAATTTGACTTGTGATCGAACGAGTGAGGGGTTCTGTGGCTTACGGTGAGGCGGGGAGGGACCTTGAAAGAACAGACGACGAGTCCAGGTTCGACTCGGTCGACTCGGATGCCGCGAAGAGCGTAATACTCGTAGAAGCTCGGCCCGGCGCCGGCTGGTGAGGTGTAACGGTGAGTCGCGACGCGGCCTCTGACTCGTCGTGGGTCAGTTCCAAGGATTTCTTCGCCTTCTCCATGCTGGCTTTTTCAGCGCCTTGATTCTGATCCTTCTCTGCAGACGTTGAGATCAAAGTAACGGCCTGGGTTGGACTGGGCCCATTCGTTTCTAAAGTTGGGTTATTTTTAAGCCCTCCTAAGCTTATGACTCGGGAGTTTAGCGCTCGTTTAGATGTATTTTTAAAATAACTAAAAGTGTTTTCAAAGAAAAAAATTTGGGTTTCAAAAGCACTTAAAGTGCTATCTGTAAGAAACACCAGTTATGTGCTTCTTTCAGGAAGCATTTAAGTACTTTTCTAGAATTTACTTGTATTTTTACTAAATATTGGTTTAAAATCATTTTCACAAAAAGTGTTTTCAATCATTTTAAAAGTACGTCCAAATGAGCTCTTAAACAGCAGAACACTACTTCGCTGCTAAATTTTTAAACACAAATTGGACACGTAATAAAAGCAGGAGCTGCTACTAAATTTGCTGTAGCCATTACACAACGTGGGGTTTTTTAGGGCAACTAAAATTAGACGGTGGAACGTATACAAACGGATCGAAAGTAACCCTTTATGCAACCGCATATTAATATCCTTATATTGACATCTTGATGCTAAATAATATAAAAAATAACTATCAAATATCAACAATATAAACTTACGTCAGAATACGTATTTCTAATTTTAAAAAAAATTCAGTTTAAATTAAGTATTACACAATATCACTTAGTAACATAGTAAGATCTCAAGCAACATTGTTCCCACCCAACTACCTTCCAATTTTATATCGATTTGTTAAATTTAGTCGGCTTCTTTTTTCTCTCAGCTTTCTCATAAAATATACGATGGTCATATACTTATTTCAATTTGATATAGTAAAATGAGGTCTGTGCGTGCACGTGCGTGTCTGAGAAGTTGTGCAGTACATGCATTGCAAACAGGGAGATCGAGCATGCTTGAAGTGGCCTCGGGTGATGATATCTCTATGTACATCTTTTTTGGAAGGTGACCGAAATGTAAAAAGACAAACATCGAGCAAGTATTTCGAGAATTAATATATTAATCAATCAAAGATTCTAGGTACCTTATTTTCAACTTCAAATCTTCTGCACCGAAAACTTCCTGTGATCGGGAGCATTTTTACCACCATCATGAATTATGATGTATGCTCACAATACACCTCATTATCTGCCACATGTCTTTTGCCTAACTCTAGTTAATATTTTTCAAAATTGAAAAATGAACATTTAATATGAAAGCCTAGTGGTATTCATCTTCACTTGTAAGTGAAAAGTTTTAGGTTTGATTCTCGCTAAAAGAGAATTTGAATCACATTATTGCTAGCCCCTTGTAAGGCTAAAGCCACCCCTTTCCCCCTCCCTCTTAGTGTATATAATATTATTTGTTAAAAAAGAAATATGAAAGTTAATTCAGGTTAAGTGAAAAGAACAAAAAAATATATGAAAGTTAATCAGGGTTACAGTGAAAAGACACATAATAGATGATGAAGTGTATGATAAACATACATCATAGTTTATAGGAAAGTGCACAAATGTTTTCGTTTGTGACATCTTTATAACCTACCTCATTGAGTGACACGTAAAACATTTTGAGTGCAAAGGATTTGGATAGAGGATCCTCACCGGTGAGGATCCCAGAAATCCTCTAATCACATCCGTTTATCATACATTGTGTGGTCAATTTTTGTCAAGTACTGTTAATATTCAATTTTAAATAAAAATATTTACAATGATTTATGATCATACAATATACGATGAACTAATGTGATTGAAGGATTCTTAACATCCTCACAAAAATGATCCAGCGATGATACTCCTGGGAGGATTTGAACTCCTTATTTCTTACCACCACATATTGGTTTGGGAATGCTAGATAAGTTGTGGATTTCGATGTCAATGGTGGTGTCCGTAGTGCAGTTGACCTAAAAATTTTGTGCACGTCCGCAACGCAAGGAAGTGGTTGGATTTTGCATTTGTTTACGTTAACAAACCCAGAATCCAAGAAAAGTGTGCGACTAATGTTGGGCCTTCCGTGGGCCGGAAAGCTGTAAGTTTCCTTCTACTTCACACTGACTGATATTTACATGCACGCCCTTCTTCTGCTGCAACCGCAAGCAAAGTTCTCAAGACTCATCAAGAAGTTTCAAGTTCAACAAGATAATCATGCACTAGCAAACGTTTTAACTTCTACGCAAATTCATTTATTATATACCAAATAATTTGATGTATTATTGTTCGATTCAATCCAACAAAAAAAAAAATATGAAGCTGAGATTACCGAAAAGAGAAACAATTTCCACAGTATTATTTTTTGCTCCCATGCTTCTTCTTTTATTTATATCCGTTGATTATTCAATTCAAAGACTATAAAGAAATGAGTGCATGAGAACATAAAAAGAGGATGCGGAAATCATTTTTTCGATGGAATAAGTTTTCACAATTTTTTTACACATCATTGTTCTTAATAGATAACTTATATTTGAACTAAAAAGTTATTAAGATAATAAGAGGACCTAAATCTTGTTTAGTGAACAAGCATTGTAACTACTCAGTGGTAACTTATATTTCAGCTTCTATTGACTATTCTAATAATTTAGATCGAGAGGAACATTAGGCTCCGTTGTTCAGCCGTTTACATAATTGTGATAAGTTAATGCATGTACTAACTAAAATATGTCAATGTGTGAATGTAATTGGGATATCAACATATCTTGATCCGTATTTCAGACGACACATTTTGAATTCGATTTCTGACGTTGATGAATCATTATATGATGATCAAGGGTAGACTGAAATTCCTATATGAGTCTTTTCAGACCAAAAAGATAGATTATCGTGACAAAACAACGTTCGAATCCTTTTAAAAAAATAAAAATAAATAGGCCCTACAACATAAATAACATTTTATTATATGCATGCTGCTAAAATTGCCATAAATTCCTATACGCATAGGATTCTTCCTCCTCTGTGACTCCTGCATCTCCATGCTAATTGCTTAGAAAAATAAAAATAAAATAAAAAATGATTCATGGATACCATAAAATCCCAAAAAGGGGATTTATCCGGTGTTTCCATTTTTTTTCCAATTTCCCTTTCCTTTCTCAACTTCACCGCCTCTCTTACTGACACACCACTTCCTTCTTCTGCCATGCACGCACTCTCAGCTACCACCGCCTCCGCCCTCCTCCTCCAACTCTAGAAGAGCAATGAAACCCCAAACTCACCGCCTATCCACCTGTCACCGTCACCCTACCAAACCCATCACCGGATTCTGCGCCCCCTGCCTAAGCGAACGCCTCGCAGGCCTCGACTCCGCCGCCGCCGCTCACCATGAACCCCCGACTCAGAACCCCCATTCCGGGTCTGAGCTCCGGAGATGCAAGTCGTGTGCCGGAACGAGACCCGAATCGTCGTCGGAAAACGCACTTGACCCGACCCGGCGCAAGTCCTGCGATGTAAGGGCCCGGAACACTCTGTCCGAGCTCTTCAACATCGACGACGACCGCAAGGGAGTGCCGAGAAAGTTCGATGTCGAAGTGAGAGATGAGGAGAAGAACGAAGGTGGAGACGAAGGTAATGTTTTGGATTTGGATGCGGATGCGGAGTTCAAGACGATGAAGGAGTTGATAGATCTGGAATGGGAGAAGAAGAAGGGTGCGGGTAGGGATTTGAAGGACATTGCAGGGACATTTTGGGGAACGACGTCGGTTTTGTGCAGGAAGGTGAGGCAATGGCGGCGGAAGCAGAAGATGAAGAAGGTTGAGAACGAGGGTTTCGTAGCGGAGAAGCGGCGGGAGACCCAGTCGGAGGTTGGAGAGTACGCATTGGGGAGAAGATCGTGCGATACTGATCCGGATCCGGGTCGAATGTCAATGGACGAGCCTCGGGCTTCTTGGGACGGGTATTTGGGTCCGAGAGCCGCCCAGCCGAGGCTGACCCGGATGGTTTTGGTTGTGGAAGAAAACTGGGAGCGAAATCCAGGCGGGTCAGCTCAGACCAAAGACTATTACAATTCGCAGCGGCGGCGGAGCTTCGAACGGCCGAGTTTCGATCGATCCTTGGCTGCGGAGGTTGACGAGCTGAAGTTGGGATCAAATGCCAGAGTCTCCCCTGCCTCTTCAGAGTTGTTCTATGGGGCCAAGCTGCTGATTACAGAGAAGGAATTGATGAGTTCGATGGGTTCGAATTCGAAGTTGAAACCTGTTGAATATGATGAGCGTGCGGAAGAGGGCCGCGGCGGCGTTGGGATTTGCAGTGAACCTGTTTGTAAAAATGCCACTTCGGAATCAACCAATGGGGTTGATGTTGACCACCAAAAGCTGAATAGGCGGCACAAGAAGTGGAGTTTTTGGGGTTTGATGCAGAGGAGAAGCGAGAAGAAATGCGTGGATGAAGAATCCACGGATTCTTGGCAAAAGCTGAGGATGGTTGCCAATGGAGAAGAAGCCAACGCGTCCGTGAGTCAGAAGCTGATTCGGAGTTACAGCGTCAGCTGCCGCAACCAGTGCAAAATGGTTGGCTTGTTTAGCAATGTGAATGGTGTTGGGGCGGAAAACAAATGCAATGAAGTGAAGACTCTGCAGAGAAACAAGAGTGCTCGGTATTCACCAAGCAATCTTGATCACGGGTTGCTGCGGTTTTACTTGACGCCGCTGAGGAGCTATCGGAGGAGCGAATCGGGAAAGGGCAGGCCAGGCAACAACTCACAATCTCTGCCGAAGAATGTCTTGTAGATGTATTCGTTATGTTGTAAAGCCGAATATAAATGCATTTTCTTCTTTTATGAGGAACACACACACTTCCCCCCTAACATGTTTTTTTTCCTAACAATGCCAAAATTGCCAATCCCCACACTTAGTGGGAAAAAGTTTTGTTGTTGTTGTTGAATGCCAAAATTGCCAATAAGGCAATTTATCTTTGAAATCATTGGTTCACTCTTGTTCAATGAACAAGAAGCGGACTGGACTAGGCATGTTGGTCAGAGCAGTGTGTTTGTCCTTTGTTTCCTTGCGAAGCGCTTTTGCTTAGTAGGGTTTTGTTAAAACAATAATCAGAATTACATAAAATTATTCAAGGTCTTGTACATTTATCTCACAACAATTCTTGAGCAAGCACTCACAAAGTGCTTTTATCCAAAAGCAATGCGAACAGTAATCACTTTTACACACAAGCGTCATAAACTTTCACATAACCATGCAAACTTTTACAATTTCACTCAGCGTCAACGACGTAGCCCTTCTCTTGAAGCTCCGAAATGACCTCATTCTTCATCCTCACCCACAGCTTCTGCGCTTCCTGCTCCAGCTTCTTCTTCTGCAGCTCCTTCTGATAGTTAAACGCATCTTTGTCCGTCTCGACAAACCCTTTCGGGCCAATTGTCGTGCCGATCATTCCCCCCTTGGCAACAAACTCTTCCATGGCTTCCTCATCCCCGGGGTATGGGAACTCACGACGCTCGTACAGGTGCGCTAGCTCTCTCTCTTCCTTGGGCCTAGGCTTCAGCGTCCACCACCCAAGTGGCGATTTCTCGTTGTAGAGCCAGGCCACGCCGAAGAGCGTGTATGTGCACACCAGTGCCTTGCCTATTTGCTTCCAGAAGTAGTAGTCTTCTTTGCCCAATCCCACTTTTCTCAAGTACTTCTCGGCATTGAACGATTTGGCCAATTGGTATCCTGAAATTAGCGCATTCAAAACGGAAGAAAGGGTTAGGGCATTTCACTGAGGCATTTGATCAAACAGTTGGAGGGTTGTAAAAAAAATCGAAATAGAAGAACAAATTGCGGAAACTGCAACACATGAGGTTGATCAAACTATTACCTGCTTTAGCATCCTGATAGCGTTTGAGAACCATTTGCGATCGTTCAAATCCCTTAGTTTTCTGCAATCTTGCTCCGAGTCGAACTAAATTTTCAGGGAGATTCACATGGTACGCGTTAGATGACGGGCCTCAAATGGCTTTTGTTTGAGGGTAAAGAGAGAATTGGGCTACGTCTTTAGTTATGGCAACTGAGCCGGGTTTATATGACCCACCAACCAAGAAATCCAAAAATGAAAAAGGAGCAAACAAGGCATAGCGCATACGTCACATGTTTACGAGTATTGCAATTATTCTATAATTCCTTATTCTATATGGCACATGTTAAATGACAAGCCTCAAATGACATTCATGCGTTTACTTACATATACATAATTTAAAAACTATGTGACTCCCACACTATAGTCAGTAATGCAATGCCTAAAAAACTACGAATTAATTGATTTTATTCTCTATTCCTAACTTTTCCGATTGAGGGTTTCCCCTATTTCAAAACACAAATGTTCGGAGAGATTGGTTACCTTACAAACCAAAAAATCTACAATACTTCTAAATATTGGAGAAATTTTTCAGTGTGCTGAGAACACGACCCAATATACCAAGTATCATAATACATGTCCAAGTCCAACCACTTGCATTATGACACTTGGTATACTAGGCCATGCTCCAGCACACTAAAAAATCTCTCTAAAAGTTGAATACAGTCACTTTAGAGCTTTTAGATCTAATCCAACGACAATCAAAGAAGATTGAATAGCCGTTGCCGTTGAATTGGATCAAAGAAGACTGTGTAGCCGTTGCCGACTGGCAAACTGTTGAATGCTTCTAAGTATTGTAGCCATACTCCCTTATCAACTCCACAAATGTGTAAAGACTGACTTGTAATTCACTCCATTTTTAACCATTCTTGCTTCATTGAAAGTTTTAACATCTCATAAGAACACTCACGTTTAACAGAATTGCATACACAAGACAAACTATTTACAAGTGATTGAAAACAAAAATAAAACCTAAAAATCACCACAGTACAGAACTGGCTTCTTATGGTATCACTTCTTTTCATGATCAACGCAGAGTCCCGACGGTCTTTTTATACGTGTACCACTTGGCAATGAAGAGGTATACTCCTAGGTTAAGAACACTCAGCACTGCCAATAGCCAGAAGAAATAATCAAGGTGTCCGTAGTTCAAATTGTTCGGTATCCATCCAGGGTTGCCGTTCTTTGTAGTCATTTTGGTAACGATGGTGACAAGAATAGAGTTGAAGTAGTTTCCTAGTGCAAAGGTGGAGAGTGAGAGAGCAGAACACAGGCTCCTCATGGCGTCTGGGGCTTGATCATAGAAAAACTCCAGCTGTCCTATGACTTTGAAAACTTCTGCAGCTCCTATGAGGAAATACTGAGGTACTTGCCAAAAGACTGACATGGGCATGTGCTCGTATGTGTAATAGTTGTTCTGTCGAACACTTCGGAGTCTGATAAGTTCCAAAACTGCAGCACAGACCATGGAGAATATGGAGATGAAGAGGCCAATGCCCATCCTTTGGAGTGTAGTTAGGCCATTCTTGTAACCGGTGTATTTTCTAGCTGCTGGCACAATGATTCGATCGTATATTGGAACCCAAAAAATGACACTTAGGGTGTTAAAGATGGTAAGAGATGCTGCTGGGATTTCAAAGCTAGAGCGGCCAACACGAATATCCATGAGGGTGCCTTGCAACACAAAGAAGTTGCTCATCTGACTGCCGGCTGCATAAAAGATGATACCAGTGGCCCATATGGGAAGCAGCCTTATGATTGATTTTAGCTCCTCCACTTGGGTAACTGTACTGAGTCTCCACGGGCTTTTCGAGTCCTTTATCTGGTCACCTTGCACCTCCACCGCTGCTTTGTCAAAGAACCTGCGCAGTAAAATTTCAGGCCAATAGAACAGCAACAACAACGAAAGTAAAACTACAAAACCACCAATCGCTTTAATGCTAGAGAAAAAAGAACTCTCAATCTTGATTACTCGCAAAATTAACTTTTATAAGTAACGAAGATTTTTCGGTATAAAAACTAACCTGAATTCATTTGTGTGATCAAGCTTGCGGCTTCCTTGGATGGAAGATTCTGCATCTGCAGTCTCATACAAAAGGGACTTGTCTTCCGGTACTTTCACCTTGTAATTTCTAATGGACGCCACAATCACCTGAATTATGCGTGTCAAAGGACTACCTCCAGGCTTCTGATTCCTATACAACCGAGTCCCCGAAAAGAAACTCAGCACAGCAATTGCCATTGCCACTGCTGGAACGCCAAAACCCCATCCCCAACCCACGTTGTCTTGTATCCACACCAGCACAGAAAAAGCAATCAGAGCACCAACATTGATGGAAAAATAGAACCAGTTGAAGAAAGAACCCTTGTGCTTCTTTTCAACCTCATCGTCATCATCAAACTGGTCTGCCCCATAGGACGAGACACACGGCTTAATCCCACCCGTGCCCAGCGCTATTAGGTAAAGCGCTATGAAAGTTGCTGCAGTTTGTCCACCATTTGTATGGCAGACATCTTTGCTAACACAGGTTGGTTTCATGCCCGGGACCGATGCTGACATTGTCAAAAGTGTCATCCCCTATGAAAATTATCACACAATCCATAAACTATTGATGGAGAAGATAAAAACGCAACAAAACCAAACTCCAACAACAACCAGGGTCATATGTTTGGAAAAATTAAGGTAAAGGGTTTGGTTGGAACCCTGCAGTAAGCTATGATTTGACTTAAGGGCCACTTGCAAATCAATTGGGATAAGCAAAATAGAAGTGCTGGCTTGATAATCATTTCATTTTTAGTTTTTAGTTTTCATTTTTTATCTCTCGTTTCTTGCATATATTTTCCTAATATTTTTAACGAAAAACTCAATACGAAATGGTTACCAAACTGGCTAACGGACTTTTCCTGATGAAACTGTTGGAGCTTCCTAGCCGTTAGGGTTAGGGTTCATAGTTTTTAGGGTTTATTTCTGTTATGTTGAATAATTCCTCCTTAACTTGAGGAACCAGTTTGTTTTCTTTTATGTTCAACGTAGTCATGCCCATGATTATAGGACTTGTAAAGTCGTGGGTAGTTATCTTCATTCTTATCTCGGTGTAAGGCTATTTAATAGCCACAATTGCTGTTTAGCTTAATAACATTCTCCCAGCTTTCGTGCACTCAAACTTTGCATAGCTTACTGCCATTCTTTTTAGTTCCAACATCTGGTATCAGAGCCCCATCACGGGGCTTGATCAAAAGGCTTGTAAGTCCAGTACTAGAGTGAAGAAACAAAGATATGGCATCCGAGAGTAGTTTTGTGCAACCTGCCATTCCAAAGTTTGATGGTCACTATGACCATTGGAGTATGCTGATGGAGAACTTTATGCGTTCCAAGGAGTATTGGAACTTGGTAAAGACAGGGATCACAAAGAAGACCTATGAGGATCAGAGGTTGAAGGATCTTAAGGCTAAGAACTACCTGTTCCAAGCCATAGATCGTTCGACACTGGAGACCATGTTGAAGAAAGATACGGCGAAAGATATCTGGGATTCCTTGAAGCAGAAGTATCAAGGAACGTGTGTCAAGCGAGCTCAATTGCAGGCTCTTCGCAGGGAGTTTGAAGTGCTACACATGAAGTTTGGTGAGTCTGTTAATGACTATTTTGGCAGAACTCTCACCATAGCTAGTAAGATGAGAACGCATGGGGAGCAAATGCATGATGTGGTAATCATTGAAAAGATTCTCAGGTCTATGACTACAAAATATGATTACGTGGTTTGCTCCATTGAAGAATCCAGTGATCTGGATATGATGTCCATAGACGAGCTACAAAGCAGTCTCTTGGTGCATGAACAACGGATCAGCCGACATGTGGACGAGGAACAAGCACTTCAAATCACTCATGGATCCCAGCAAGGAGGAAGAGGTGGGGGACGAGGTACCTATCGAGGAAGAGGAAGAGGAAGGGGTAGGTTTGGGTTCGACAAATCCACCTTGGAGTGCTACCATTGTCATGAACTAGGGCACTTTCAATGGGAATGCCCTAAGCGAGCCACGGAACAAAAAGCAAATTATGCATATACAAAGGAGAAGATACTATTGATGGCTCTTGTGAACTCCAAAGAGGATACGGTGGAGCACATTTGGTACCTTGACTCTGGGTGTAGCAACCACATGTGTGGGAACAAAGACATGTTTTGTGATCTCGACAGCAGCTTTCGAGAATCAGTGAAGCTTGGGAACAACTCGAGTCTTACTGTACAAGGGAAGGGTAAGATTCGCATAGAGGTTAATGGACTTGTGCATGCAATCACAGAAGTCTTCTATGTGACAGACCTGAAAAACAACCTGTTGAGCATCGGTCAGTTACAAGAAAAGGGGCTGGCAGTACTTATCAAACATGGGAAATGCAAAATCTTTGACTGTGAGAAAGGTTTAATCATGGAAACTGGGATGACATATAACAGGATGTTTGCAGTACGTGCTCGCTTCGCACCAAAGAAACAACAATGCTTCTCCACACTGACCACAGATCAAGCAGATATTTGGCACCATCGATATGGACATCTTAACTGGAATGGGCTCAAAGTGCTTTAACTAAAGAACATGGTGACAGGGTTGCCTCGGTTTCAAACTTCTCCAAAGGTGTGTGAAGACTGCCTGGTGGGAAAACAGCACCGTGACCCATTTCCAAAGGAGAGCATGTGGAGAGCCTCCAACATTCTTCAGTTGGTGCATACAGATATTTGTGGACCAATCAACCCGGTTTCAAACAGCAATAAGAGGTATCTTATCACTTTCATTGATGATTTCAGTAGAAAAACGTGGGTTTATTTCTTGGCAGAGAAGTCAGAAGCATTTGCCACGTTCAAAACCTACAAAGCAAAAGTTGAGAAGGAAAATGGGACATACGTACGGAGCCTGAGAACAGATCGTGGGGGAGAATTCACATCACATGAATTCATCAACTTCTGCAATGAGAATGGAATTCATAGACAGTTGACGGCTGCCTATACACCTCAACAAAACGGTGTCGCGGAAAGGAAGAATCGCACTATTATGAATATGGTGCGAAGCATGTTGTTAGCAAAGCACATTCCCAATACCTTCTGGCCTGAAGCAGTAAATTGGACGGTGCATGTTCTAAATCGATGTCCAACTCTTACTGTGAAGAACAAAACACCTGATGAGGCATGAAGTGGACACAAACCATCAGTGGATCATTTCGTGTTTTTGGATGCATTTGTCACGTGCATGTACCTGACAACAGACGAGTAAAGCTCGATGCCAAGAGCTTCAAATGCATTTTACTTGGGGTAAGTAAGGAGTCTAAGGCCTACGGATTATTTGATCCTCTTTCAAATAAAATAATTGTTAGTCTAGATGTGGTATTTGAAGAAGATCAACAATGGAATTGGGACGAAGGTCAAAAGCAAGCTGATCTCGAGTGGGAGACTGAAGGAGAAGCAGAACTGGCAGAAGAGGGGGATGAAGAAGAGTCTGAAGCCAATGAAGAATCGGGTGGAGAAACTGAGTCTGCCGAAGGCAATACTTCAAATGATGAAACCTCGTATCGAGAAGTACGTGCCCGAAGACCACCAATATGGATGAGAGACTATGAAACTGGACAAGGTCTCTCTGATGAAGAAAGTGTAAACAGAATTGCATACACAAGACAAATATACAAGTGATTGAAGACCCAAGTAAAACTTAAAAATCACCATGGGACAGAAACAGCTTCGTATGGTATCACTTCTTTTCGCGATCAACGCAGACTCCCGACTGTCTTTTTATACGTGTACCACTTGGCAATGAAGAGGTATACTCCAAGGTTAAGAACACTCAGCACTGCCAATAGCCAGAAGAAATAATCAAGGTGTCCGTAGTTCAAATTGTTCGGTATCCATCCAGGGTTGCCGTTCTTTGTAGTCCTTTTGGTGACGATGGTGACAAGAATAGAGTTGAAGTAGTTTCCTAGTGCAATGGTGGAGAGTGAGAGAGCAGAACACAGGCTCCTCATGGCGTCTGGGGCTTGATCATAGAAAAACTCCAGCTGTCCTATGAATGTGAAAACTTCTGCAGCTCCTATGAGGAAATACTGAGGTACTTGCCAAAAGACTGACATGGGCATGTGCTCGCGTGTGTAATAGTTGTTCTGTCGAACACTTCGGAGTCTGATGAGTTCCAAAACTGCAGCACAGACCATGGAGAATATGGAGATGAAGAGGCCAATGCCCATCCTTTGGAGTGTAGTTAGGCCATTCTTGTGACCGGTGTATTTTCTAGCTGCTGGGACAATGATTCGATCGTATATTGGGACCCAAAAAATGACACTTAGGGTGTCAAAGATGGAAAGAGATGCTGCTGGGATTTCAAAGTTAGAGCGGCCAACACGAATATCCATGAGGGTGCCTTGCAACACAAAGAAGTTGCTCATCTGACTGTAGACTGCAGCAAAGATGATACCAGTGGCCCATATGGGAAGCAGCCTTATGATTGATTTTAGCTCCTCCACTTGGGTAACTGTACTGAGTCTCCATGGGCTTTTCGAGTCCTTTGTATGATCACCTTGTACCTCCACTGCTGCTTTGTCGAAGAACCTGCGCAGTAAATTTCAGGCCAACAGAACAGCAACAACGAAAGTAAAACTACAAAACCACTATTCGTTCGCTCTAATGCTAGAGAAAAAAGAACTCTCAATCTTATAGTTTGATTACTCAACTGAAGTGAGCCTTACTACCATCTTAGCAAAATTAACTTTTACAAGTAACGAAGATTTTTCAGTTGAAAAACTAACCTGAATTCATTTGTGTGATCAAGCTTGCGGCTTCCTTGGATGGAAGATTCTGCATCTGCAGTCTCATACAAAAGGGACTTGTCTTCCGGTACTTTCACCTTGTAATTTCTAATAGATGCCACAATCACCTGAATTATGCGTGTCAAAGGACTACCTCCAGGCTTCTGATTCCTATACAACCGAGTCCCCGAAAAGAAACTCAGCACAGCAATAGCCATTGCCACTGCTGGAACGCCAAAACCCCATTCCCAACCCACGTTGTCTTGTATCCACACCAACACAGAACTAGCAATCATAGCACCAACATTGATGGAAAAATAGAACCAGTTGAAGAAGGAACCCTTGTGCTTCTTTTCAACCTCATCGTCATCATCAAACTGGTCTGCTCCATAGGACGAGACACACGGCTTAATCCCACCCGTGCCCAGCGCTATTAGGTAAAGCGCTATGAAAGTTGCTGCAGTTTGTCCACCATTTGCATGGCAAACATCTTTGCTAACACAGGTTGGTTTCATGCCCGGGACCGCTGCTGACATTGTCAAAAGTGTCATCCCCTATGAAAATTATCACACAATCCGTAAATTTCTATTGATGGAGAAGATAAAAACGCAACAACACCAAACTCCAACAGCAACCAGGGTCATATGTTTGGAAAAATTAAGGTAAAGGGTATGGTTGGAACCCTGCAGTAGCTATGATTTGACTTAAGGGGCCACCTGCAAATCAATTTGGATAAGCAAAATAGAAGTGCCGGCTTGATAATCATTTCATTTTTAGTTTTTAGTTTTCAATTTTA